TCATGAAGAGTTGGACACAACGGAAAAATGGCTGAACTGAAATAAATTATAAAAATCTCTACCCTTTGACCCAGAGATTCCACTATTAAACAGACATACACAAAAATAAATCCAAAGATAGAAAATTACACATGCAATGAAATTTTATATTAGCACCTTTCTGTCATAAAAAAGAACTACAAATAGAGTAGATACCTGGTGAGTGGACAATGACTAAAGAATTATGACATGTAAATGAAAGGAACAACTACCAAAAAGTGAAACTGAATTGTGTCAACTCAGGTTATACCAGAAGAAGAGATAAGAAAATGCAGATCCATCTCTTCTTTGTAGAAGTATAATAATAATAATAATTAATAATAATAATAATAACAATAGCCAAATTATCTTAGTAGAAGATATGAGAAAATGCAGCTTCCTCCCTTCTTTGCAGAGCTGGGATGTGCATCATTATATGTGCCACCAAACTCCATTGATATGTTGGTTAGTTGTATTCTCCTGCTTTTTTCTTCACTCCATTTTCCTTTTCATTTTTTGTTAATGATATCTAAGATAGGTCTCTGTGTAGGGAAGGTAGAAGGAATACATTTGGAAGTGAAAGTGATAATTAAAACAATATACTTTTGAATAGTTTCAGGAATGCTAGAGCCTAAAACAAGATGATGCTTTAAAAAGACTATGAAACTAAGAAAAATGATAAGTGCTTTTTAAAAAGTTATGGAAATAATGGGCAATAGCTAGACCCACTCTTTGGGACAGTATGGTACAATAACTTATGGCAGAGAAATCAGAATTACTCAACTCCTATTTGCTTTTTTTTTTCATTAGCCAGGATAATAATGATCTTCATAGTGGGAAAGGTCATATAAATAAGATTAACAGGGATTGGAAATAAAGATAAATAAGGAGAAGTAAAAGAGCAATTAACTACTTTAAATGAGTTCAAGCCACCTGGGTTAAATTACATCCCAGTGTGCTAAAAGAACTTGTAGATATGGTAGATGAAATACTGTCAGTGGGCTTTAGGAATCATGGAAAATATTAGAGGTGGGGTAGTAGTGGAAGCAGGCTAATACGTTGGTTTTTAAAAAGTCAATCCATACTTACAGCTATAGGCTAATTAGCTTGAATTGATTCTAGGTAAAATTCCAGGAAGAATTATTAAAATGATTATTTGCCAGGGCTTAGAAATGCTGATCACTATGAGCTCTTATGGTTTAATTATGAACAAGTCATATAGCTTGCTGGTTAGTCGGCTTGCCACAAGTCATTCCCCATTCATCTTCCATTCAGCTTTCAAATTAAACTTCCAAAACACAAGTCTGACCATGTCATTCCTCTGTTCAGTACATTCCAGTGGCTCCATATCACCTGCAGAATCAAATATAAAATTATCTGGAATTCATCTCTACTCATCTCTGCCTTCTGTCTTCCCTGGTTTCCTTTAAGTCTCAGCTAAAATCTCACCACCTAAAGGAAGCCTTTTCTGAACCCCCTTAATTCTATTGCCTTCCCTTTGTTGATTATTTCCAATTTATCCAGTATCTAACTATCCATTATAGCTCCAGTATATAACTCTTTGCTTGCTGTTGCCCATGCACTTTGGAGAACAGGGACTGTTTTTAAACTCTCTTTTATCTCCAGTGTTTAGCACAGTCCCTGGCAGATAGTAGGCACTTAATAAATGCTTATTGACCGAATGACTATTCTCATTTCATTTTTGGATACTATTACTAAACATGTAGATACAAGAAATTTCATAGACATATACTGAGATTTCAGTCAGATATTTGATAAAGTTTCTCACAAGAGATATTCTACTGGAATGTATACAGTAAAGGACAATCAGAATAGTAAGGTAACTTGATATAATAATAAGCCAAATAAGCAGTTGCAGAAACAGCATGTTTTGCCTCAAGAAGAGGAAACTTATTGTAAAAAAAATTATTCTTGTTTTCTAGTATTTAAAGAGCTATTAATTGGGAAGAAAGTTTAGGTCTGTTTTTGTTGGCTCCTGGAGAAAATAACTAGAATCATGGAGAGACAATATTATTATAAGGAGAGATTCCCATAAAAATTAGAGTTCTCTCTGAATGGCATTGGATATATTTTAGAAGCTAGTGAGTCTTCCTGTCATTGACCATCTTCAAGCATAATCTGGAAAACTATGTTTTTTTGGATGTCGCAGAGGGCATTTGACTAGATGATCCATGCAGTCGCTTGTCCCTAAGGTTCTATGATTCTAGTTTTTTAATAAATGTTTATTGAAATGAATCACAAAGCATCAAATTCTGCTGCCCCTACATTGAGACCCAGTGATAGTCTATTTGACACCTGTTACCGAGTAGTATGTGATTGAACATCTCCTTTTAGAATGTTACCTTATAATCATAGTTCTTTACCTGATTCCTTGCAATTCTTCTTCAGTTGTCACTTCCTTAAGAATGGCTCATGTTTCTTTCTTCTGTAATCATTTGAGGTACCATCCTCCCCATTTAACTCCCCACCTTCCAGGGGGGAAACCACTTCTCCCAGATCAGTCACTTTTTCTAATAAAATAATCCATATGCATAATCAGTCACAAGTACTCTGAGTGTTCATTATATTTTCTTCAGAAGTCATTACACTAGATAAAAACGACACTCTGATGTTTAAATATTACACTATATATGTATATATGCAATATATTGTATATTGCTAATTTCATAAACACTATTTCATACAGGAGAATGTTGTAATTGCACAGTAGAATTAAATGTGATTAGGAAATTTTTGACTGTACTTCTTATTAATCGCAGGATCCCAGAATTTCAGTAATGGAATGGATTCCAGTGACCATCAAATCTAACCCTAGCCAGAATAAGGATAATAGGTATTACTCTAGACACAAAATATGCCTCATTTGTGACCTTGTAAGTCCCCAATAAAAATCTATAGATGATTTTTATACTAGTGCATTTAAAGAGGCTGTTGAATTTCAAAAGTTTGGAGCATCCTCATAACAAAGCATCTAAAATCAGATGTCTCACTGAAGAATCAAACTGAATTTAATTTAATTTTTTTTTTCAAATCAAGATATTATTTCATTAGTGTAGGGAGCTATCAGTGAGTAAACTCCCCCTACCAATGAAGATTGTCAGTGGTTCTTTAGCTTTTAGACTCAGGAAGTTGCTTCTGTCACACAGACAGTCCCCAGGTCTTGTCCAAGGTCACACAGTCAGTACCCAGTGGCATGAGGACTTGAACCCAGGCCTCCCTGACTCTGAAGTTGCCTTTCTATCCACTACACCATTCTATTTCTCTTAATGAACTTTCTAAGTATTAATATTTTAAATAGAAAAAAATAGGCAGTGGAAATAATAAAGGTATAAAACTACTACAATAGTCTCCTGAAAAGAATGCATACTCAATTCATGCATGCATCATAGTTGGTATGTAGGATTATTTTTTCTAGATGATCAATTTTACTATGAGAATTGATGAGTCTATTATATGATTGGGTTGTGTTACCTGCATAATATTTTTATTGCATTCCCACTTTTCCCCTCAGGATCCTCTCCTATAGTTCTACAATTCTGGCTTAGAACATGTATGCTATGCTTATTACTTTAAAGGTAGGAACAATATAGCTCATTAGCATTTTCCTTGAAGCTTGATTATGATTAAGATTAAGGAATACTAAAATGCTGCATCTCATGTAATTACATCAGGCTTATCGAAACACAAAAACAGTATCTTTGATTTCCTTTAGTTTCAAGTAATGACATATTATTTTGCAACCTGATGGCAGTGATTAGAATGTTATGTTATAAGGGTTCAAATTCTGCCTCTACTACTCATTGACTATGTAAACCTGGGCAAATCAATTACTTTTATGTTGTTTAGTCATTTTCAGTTGTGTCCAACTCTTCCTGACCCCTTTTTGGGTTTTATTGGCAAAGATGTTGGAGTGGTTTTCCTTTTCCTTTTCCTGTTCATTTTGCAGATGAGGAAACTGAGTCAAACAGGGTTAAGTGACTTTCCCAGGGACACACATCTAGTAAGTATCTGAGGTAGGATTTGAATTCAGATCTTCCTGACTCCAGGCCCAGCACTCTATCCACTGTGCCACCTACGTGGCCTAAAATTACTTTTATAAGCATCAGTCAATCCTTTGGGGCTTAAGCTAAGTCATCCACAGACTGTGGTCTTTCTGGGTGGAAAGAGATTTTGGCAGTGAGGAACTTATAGATCCTTCCTCTATGTTCATGCCTATTTCATGTTTTCCTTTAACTTTTTTTAGCATGCAATTTTATTCATGTGATTCTGTGATCTCATCGAATTGAATGTTCATTCCATCAATGTGATTGCAAACCATTCATGTTTGCCTATAGCATGTAGTGATGATCCATGTGCTCCCATAGGTTTGCCACAACAGTTCACCTAATATTCTAGAGGCCTTCCTCAATTCATCCTAACATCAAAAGGATGCCAGTGGAGTCCTCAAACATTCTACCTGTTATCTCTAGATTTCACTAAATGACCAGCCCATTTTTTTTTCTAATACATTTCCTTGATGAGACCCTTTATCCCAGTTCTTACTTGCAGGTCATTTCTTATATACATGTATATGGTATGACTTGCTTACATCTCTCTATTTCCCCCATATGAAACTCACTTATAATTTACTCATAGCCATATAATACCGGTAGAATATTGGTATCAAAAAGTTAGGCCTTTGTTTCTATATGTGTGTATATATACATACACACACACACACACATATATAATTTTGTGGTATCTTCAGAGCATTATTTTTGATGTTACTATTGCTTATGCTTCATTACATTTTTCTTGTAATTGTTTTTGGCTTCTTATTTTTTAATCTATACTTTTTTATTGTATTGAAGTTCTTTGGGTTGCTCTCTTCATGGAAGTCCACCAATATGTTTTCTAAATAAGTCACAACAAAGAAGTTGTAAAATTCTCTACTTTACATTTGAACTATTTTTTTTTTACAGCCCCATTCACAGGACTCATGCAGAATGTCGCTTTGTATATAAGATGATGAAAACCATGCCTGATTTATCTTCTCAGTTGACACGTGACGACTTCAAGGCACTTAGTCGAAATATCACTTCTGAAACCTGGTTGAAAGGCACCACGGGTAATGGCATAACATGTGGTGAAATACTTTTCTCATTCTGACTTCTATAAAGTTACAATGCTTCAGTATTTCAAGTTACTTAATGTCCAAAGAGCCTCCTACTCTTATTCATATGTTGGGTTTAATTAAAGGTATTAATTGGATAAGGTGGTCCATTCCTATTTTCAGCACTTGTCTTTTCCAATATGAATTTAATGAACAATACACTTCACAACCACTTGGTGTTAGCTTGTATAACTAATAGGTAGGAGAGCTGGGAGCTAGAGAGGTTGTTTGACTGGCCTAGAGTTAAATGTTCAGAGTGGAGGATCTCCTATTCATGAACTCATTCCACTGGTTCCCTTTGTCAAGGGCTTAGTTTAATGACATTAGTTTCTTTTTTTTTTCCCTTGGGTAAATAAAAAAAAAATGACCCGAAATGTCCCTTGAACCTATTAAATACCTACTTCATATAAAAAACTATTTATTCATTTTTAAGAATTTTTGTCTATTTGTATATCTTTGTCCTCCTAAAAATTAAATCCTTATTTGGTATTTTCCTTCCTTCGTCTTCTATCCCTAAATTCACTTTCATAATTAGGACTATAGAATCAGATTTAGAGCTAGAATAGACTTTGGAGTTCATCTACAATAGGCCCCTCATTTTACAGATGAGGACACTGAGGACCAGAGAGGTAAATGACATTCCTGAGTTCACACAACTAACAAGTAAGAGAGACAGGTTTAGAACCCATTTTCCTTGACTCCATCTCATATTTTCTACCTCACTACAATTAATTCCATTTGACCTGAACATAAGCAATAAACTCATAGTCATAAATATGTTTAGGGAAAAATAAGAAAAATAAACCAGCCAGTGAAAGGAATATTTATATTTAACATTATTTTGTTATCAATATGAGTAGGTTTCAAAATTTGATGAATTATTTTTGCCATTTAATGAATATTTAGAAGGAAAAATACTTTTCCACCTTTGAATGATGTCAGAGCAACTCATATAAGTTTTACAACTCTTATTTATATGTAGAGATAATAAAAATGATCAAATTGGCATAGTTTGAATACCTATAGCTTTTGCTTAAATCCATATAAATTTAATAAAATTATTAAGCAATAAAAATCCAAATTTGGATTTCTCAAGAACATGCATTCAGACATTCAAACAATATTAGCTATCTTCACTCAGAAGCCTCAAGGCTTACACCTATCTAACCCTGCAACTCCTCAGTTTCTCTGTGCCTTAGTCTCAGAGCTTCATTAGGACCAATTTTCATATCAAAGCAGTAAGCCCATTAAGTACTTAACCTTTTTTCAAATTTGTTTCTTCATTCAATTGAAAGGACAACAAGAAACCTCCCTAAATATTCATATCACCCCCTTTCCTTTATTCCTGTTTGAAGCTTCACTCACTCAACCAGGCTCCCTAAGAGCTGTCTTTCCACCTGCTATTGAGGCAGTTAGTGTTTCTAGTGCAATTCCAAAAAACTGGGTGTTCCTTAGACAATTTTCTGGCCACAGGTCTTTAGACTAATCCTATTTAGGAAATTTTATTAGTTCCTTTGTTTCTCAGCACCTCTGTTTCAGTGTGATCAAAGAAGTTTAACAGAATTCTCCTGGAGTAATTAAGGCATCTAGTGAAAATGGGGAAACTCTGCATCAGTGCATTACAATATTTCCCTAAGGTCACAAAGTTACTAGAAGGTCTGGAGTCAGAACTCATTTGCATTGTCAAGAGGCAGATAGATGGTGCAGTGGATAGAATTAGGGAACCCTCCAATCAACATCTGGAAAGAGGTTCCTTAACGCTCAACAAGTTCAATTTAAGAAATATTTATTAAGCACCTACCATGTGCAAATCATTGAGCTGGTGGGATACAGAGATGTAAATAGACAATCAATGCCAATGAGAAGCATGGTGATGAATGACTTCCAAAAAGTTTCTGGGTAATTAATAACACATTTTGTAATTAGGCTAACTAAAAATCAATAAATTGATTGTCCGTTGTTTCTCTCGGAAAACCAGAGACAAAAACATGGAGATCCTGAAAGCCTTAAATTTTTTTTTTTAAAGAAAATGCCCCTGACGAGCGGAAATCAACCCCAATTGGTAGACATTTAATGAAGAGATAGTCTAGAAGTCTTCAGCTTCTGCTGAGAATATGGCTTGATCATGAGACTCAACTGCCTCTAGCAATCAGGATGGGGGACTCCATCTCCATCCAGACCACTTTAGTTAGTTTTCTCCTTCATGAGCTCAATCACCCTAAATTTTAATGGAGGGGTACAAGAACAAGAGCTGTTCTCCCTGGGGAAAGAATTTGCCCAGACTGGATTCTGTTTACACTCTAAATATAAGTAAGGTGTCCTAGCTGAATGAAGTCAGGCCCAAGATGGAAAAGCATGTTCCCTGAGGTTTAGGGCAATCTCATCGATCAGTCCTATCTTCCAGAGACTGAATTTTTATGTGAGGAAATATCAGGAGAAAAGCCTGGATCCCAATTAAATAGTTGGTTATTAATATAATAGCAAAATGATTTCCCTCACATAAATGTAGTTAGTGAGTTAAGGCTTTTTTTTTTTCTCTAAGCGAAGAGATAGTTTCCTATAAGCCACTCTAAACTTGTGCAATACCGAATTACCAAGGAAACACTCCTCTTTGATGCACATCATCAGAGAGCCATCATGAAGATGATGTATAATGTTAAGTGTCATTCTTTTTGTGATGGATAACCCAAAGTGTCATTGCTCAGATGATGGATAATAGAAACCAACCACAGCTTTTATGATCTATTCTAGTGTTGGAACAGCTCTGCTATAAAATACATGATTAGAGTAAGTCTCCCTCTGTTATCTGTCAACAGGCTAGTAGTTCTGAGTGTTATATATCCTCACTATGGTGCTGACCTGACAATATATAATGTAAATTTAAATCTTTTAACTGCTATAGAAAACTGTATCTATTTTATGAAAGTGGCAAAAATGAGAGGATTAAAAAAATTCATTTTATAAAGAGAAAGAGAAAGGTGTAACTGTTTTAAAACCATGGGATACTAATCCTTTTATTTAGGTCTAAGACAGACAGGAGAAATTCACTTTGCTATGCACATTTATAATGTCACACAATTTATCCTTTCCAGGTAATATTTATTCATTCAATAAACATTCACTATAAATGCCCATTATCTGAAAGAAAGAATACTGGGTTATATTTGCATATATCATATGTGATATCTATCTATATAGAGAGACATATGAAAAGTGCAAGAGATATAATTTTTGGATAATTAATTACTTTATTAAATATGGTTAGGGAATAATTAATAAAAGGATGGTCATTTGGCTTTCTCTCACAAACCAAAAGACCCCACATGGAGGCCTCTTGATGCTTGTATATCCTTAGAAGAGTAGGTGTTCCTGACACCTAGTGAGAATAAACTCTGATTGGTTAACACTTAGTGGGATAATGAATATTATAATGAGACTCTGATCATGTCACTCATGGCCAAAAAGTGATTCATCTCAGGCCAGACTACTAAAGTCTTAAATATATTTTGAAAGAAAATGCCCATGGCAAGTAGAAATCAACCCTGATAGGTGGACAAATGTCCAAAGATCCTCTTCGCAATACAGACCAGATTCACCTTGATGATTATACATTTCCATTAATCCTAGGCAGAGCTCCAGGAAAATGCAAAGCTCCCTTTGCTCTCCAGAGAGTTGACAATCTCACTTCTTTCTGGGTGGCAAGTGCTTCTCTGGTTAGTCTTAGAGGTATGGTCAGTATGAATATATCAAATCAAAATCACCCCATCCCACTAGGAAAGCTACTCTATCTGCCCAGGTTGGCTGTGAGTTGGTCGTCATGAAGTACAATACATAGATAAGCAGACTGAAGTGTTCTGTTTTTGACTTGCAGGTATAGAATTTACAAATGAGAATAAAATCACAGTATCTCTATTGCCATTCTTGCAGCCTCTTTCAAACTGAAGTTACCTACAACCACATGAACTCTGAACCCAACAGGGTTAGGAAAATCATTGTTTAGTTTTTTGGTCACTGATCCTACTTCCTCTTGCTATAGGAATTAGCAAAGAGGGTTTATCTCATAAATCACTTTATTCTTTTTTTTTTTTCTTTTTTGAGGCAATCAGGGTTAAGTGACTTGCTCAGGGTCACACAACTAGTGTCTGAAACTGGATTTGAAATCAGGTCCTTTTGACTTAATGACAGGTGCTCTATCCACTGACATCCCTAGCTAGTTTTATTCTTCCAGAAGAGTCATAATCCCATTCTCTGAGGGGTTTAGTCACTTGGGCCATTACTCAGCTCTTCTGTGCAATGTTAAAGAAGCAGCTTTAAAAAAAGCCCCTAGGGCAAAGGAGGGCCCTAAGAATTGCTTTTTCCCCACTCCCAGCTGACTTGCTTTGTTACATTCTACCATTCCTGCCTCAATATTCATCTCATGAACCATGTCCTACTCGACCCCTAAAAAATGCTCTTTAAAGAATAGTTCTTAACCTGGGATCTGTGTACTTAAAAAAAAAGTATTTCAATATAATTGTTTTCCTCTGTAATACTATATATTATAGAGGTCACTAGGTCACCAAATAGGACTGATCCTTTTCTATACTGATTATCGTCTGTACATTTCTTTCCTTCCTTCCTTCCTTCCTTCCTTCCTTCCTTCCTTCCTTCCTTCCTTCCTTCCTTCCTTCCTTCTTTCTTTTCTATGTTCCTTCCTTCCTCCTTCGCTCCCTTCCTTCCCTAATATGTATTCTATTTCATCTACTGACCAAGAACTACATAACCCTCTCTTTATTTTCCCAATTCTCATCTGTCTCTTTGGTTTTATGAGTGGGGCTGAACCAAAATACATTGTTCCAGCTTTTCAGATACAGCATAAATGTTTAATTTCTGTTACATGCACACACACACAAACACACGCACACACACTATAGCTTGATTTCTTTGTCTTATCCATCTAATGGCCTATAATATTTCTCGGTAATGTCTCAAAAATAAGTTCCAGAGTCATGAGAGTAGTGCGGTATGATAGAAAGAGCACCAGATGTAGGGAGTTGGAAAACCTTGGTTTTGGTCCTGGCTCTGGCCCTAACTGGCTTGGTCAAATCATTTGAACCATTTCAGCTTTGGTTATTGCATCTGTAAAATCTTTCAAGTTTTCTACTCTTTTTTATATCTATACTATAGAGAGTAATTGTATGGCTTAAATAGGAAAATGTATGTAAAGTGTTTTGTAACCATAAGGCGCTGTACAGATATGTGATACTGCAATGACTATGTCTGTTATCATGGTTATTACATATTATTGCATGAGAAGGGGAGAGCATGAAATTGGAATTGAAAATGTGCCCTGCATTAGCACTAAGAGATAAATATTGCTTTTTTGGTAATCACAAATTGTTTTTCTCAGATTCTTTTTGAATATTCTCCCGCCTCAGTCCAATCTCTTTCTTTAAGATTCTCAGTGCAAGGGCTACCTCCTACAAGAAATCTTTCCATATTCCTTGGGTTGTTAGTGCTTGTTTCCATCAGAAATTACTTTTATTTATTTTCTTTGTATTTTGTATTTATTTGTGCACATATGGAATATATAATGTAAACTCCTTGAGAACTGTGATTATTTCATTTTTGTCTTTATGTCCCAGGACCTAGTACAGTGCCCCAGCATACAGAAAATAAACACTTGTTGAGGTACATGTGTGTATAATATAAACATATACATATTTATATATTAAGTATACATCACAAATTAATTATGTTATTACATGTCAATATATTATAAATGACATATTCATATATTATGTGATATATTAATGCTACATTAAACATATATATGGGAGAGGAAGGGTAATAAGCATTTATATAGCACCTACTATGTGTCAGGCACTAGGCTAAGCACTTTACAAATATTATTTCATTTGATCCTCACAACAACCTTACAAGGTCGGTGCTGCCATTACCCCCATTTTATAGTTGAGGAAACTGAGGCAGGGGTTAAGTGATTTCCCCAACATCACAGATAGTGTCTTCCTCATTCCATGTCCAGTTCTCTACCCATGGTGTCACCTAGTTTTCATATGTGTGTGTGCGCGTGCATGTACGTATATTTATATACACATATGACTTTGTAATCTTTCCAATAAAATATTGATTTATAACTTTTTGTGCATGCTATGTGATAATATAATCTGTAATCCCTTTTATACTAATAACATGCAGTAAGATTTTTCTTTTCTTTTTTTTTTACTTAAAGCATAAAATCCAGAAGCTTGTTTATTCAGTGCATAGTTTCAAAGTGTACACAATTTTTTCAAACTTTTAATCATTTAAATAGAAAATCACTCAAGATTATAGATTAAGACACTTTTTAGTGGGTAAGGTAAACTTTGTTTGGAATAAGAAACTATTTTAGAGATGGAAAGGTAGGAAGGAATAAACTTAAAAATCATCTACTTGAAACCTTTCAGTTTACAGATGAGGATGCTAAGTGCTAGAGGGGTTAATTAATTTTCCAAAGACCACAGATAATAGCAGAGCCACATCTAATTCTCTTTGCTCCATGGACCTTCCCTTCAAATTAAAAACAAACAAAAAATACAAACCCAAACTATAACCTTTAGACAGGCACTATTCATGTATTTTACCCATTTTTGAAATGAAAGAAAAAAGTTTCCTATCTGAAGTTCATACAATTTCACCTTTGCTTGATCATACAAAGAATGTTCTGAGCCAAGGTTGTCTCTGTTCATTTTGGTGGTTGAGACTTGGAACTGGAATGAAAAGAGACACTCATAGACCATACTGCCTTTAATAAAAGAAATTTCCTGAACAGTAGCATTTGGACTACTGCCCCTGCCCCCATCAACCAGCCTCTTCATTTGCCGTGGGGCTGAGCCCTGTTAGAAGTCTGCGATGGCTCCAGAGCAGTATGGAATCCACCAAGTCTAAGTAGCCCCTGTTCCATGCGGGCTGCTCTCTTTATACCTAAAGCTACCGGGAAGCTGCTTCAATGCTTTAGACTTAGTCCCTGGGACCGATTAAGTCTCCAGGGTGCTTTCCTTGTCCCTGTAGAGAGGAGCTGAGCTGGTCTACATAGAATAAATGTTGTTCTTATCACAGAAGGCTAGTATTATATAGAGATGAATTAAGCAAAACACCTGTGTGGTCAAATTTTATTTTTTAAATTTTAATACAAAGTATAAATTGAAGGACTAAGAAAAGAACAATGACCAAAAATATTTTTGCTAATGTCCTGAAATTTTCACCACTGACTTTATTTCTTAAAGGCTTTCTTAAGGAGAGGAGAATTTTTCCTGGTTATTTGGCTTAGAGAGAGGGCCAATTTTGATAAAGGAGCTAATATGAATTATTTTATCTGATCGATCCATTGTCACTGAACTGAGAACAGAGTCAGGAAGAAATGGGACAGCTTTAATGATGTTTTTTTTGGGAAGCTGCATTCGCCATTCAGAGACAGAAACTCACCATTGGAAGGGACCTCAGAGACCATGTAATCCAACTGATACTAGATTGAGAATCCTCTTAACAACGTGGTTATTAAGTGCTTACCTGCCAACCTCTGTCTGTGTATCTGTACCTGTATTAAACTTATATTTAGTTCCACAATCTTAAATTATTTCATCTGATATTTGTTAAACATCTACTAGTTGCAGTGTTCTATACCATAATACCAGTTCATATTTATAGAGTGATATAAAGTTGGCAAATTACTTTTTCTTACAACAATCCTGTAAGGTAACTAGTAAAATAATTGTCTCCATAAGGAGAGTGAGCAAGGGGTTAAGTGGCTTATCAAAGGTCACACAGCTAGTGAGTTTTAGAACTAGGCTTTGAACCTATTCTCTGACTGCAAGGCTGGCATTCTGTACTCTGTACCACTCACTATTCCTCTCAACCGCTGGTAGTCAGCAGTGTTCTTGACCTCAAGTAGTTTACAATCTAGTAGCAAGATAAGAAATGTCCATGTTTTTAAAGGGAGTTAGAGAATGAGTTTGTGAACACACATAAAAGGCAAAGGGAGGCATATGAGATATGTGGAGGGAAAGGTCATTTATTACTCACAGTGGGGAGACTGGGAAAGGCTGGACTGAAAAGAAAGGTAGACTACTGGAGGGATTCTGTGACAAGTATCAGGTATAGGTACAGAGCACAGAAGTAGAAGACAGCAGGATAAAGTTGGCTAACAGCTAGCGGTTCAGTTTGGTTAAACACTTAACCATTCTCTGATAGTTTCATTGTTGGCGCTTGGCACTAGTGTTCTAGACAATGGCCTCCTGTTAATTGTTATAACCCTTTATGCTAAGTTTGCCTTTCCTACACAGTGCCTGGCATATTGAAAGTGCTTAATAAATACTTTCTCGGTCTATCTATTTCTTTATCTTCCGTGTTGAGAGTTGAGATTAAATATTGGGAATGATTACTTTTAGATTTCAGTAAAATTCCAACTCTACATTATCATGGTTCCCCAAATTCTTGATCCTTTGCCAATGATCCCATTTTGTTTCTACAAATACATGTGCATGGTCCTTCTCCAGAAAATGTCAATGAGGCTATGAATGTTTATTTGTGCCATTGATGCCTTTATGGTTTTGAGTGATTTTTGTATGCCTACTCTAAAGGTCATTGATATTGCACAGAATAAAATAAATGAATTAAAATAAAAGAGAAATCATAGGTGACACATGCGTTCATAGGAGGTGGTCTGGGAGATGAAAGTTTAATATTCAATTTCTTTTTCTCTAATTTTCTTTCAGTAGTTGCAAATGAAGGTTTTTATATCATATTGAAAGGTTTTGTCCGACCACGGAGCAAAGTATACAAAAAAATGATTGAATTAGTGCCTACAGATTTTTTAAGTGAGCAATCCTCAGAATATTTGTCTGAAGAAGAACTTTTCCAGGAGAGTCCACTTGCAGAATATCATTCTCTTATGTATCCACACTACATAATAGTAAGTAGTTCATTCATTTATTGTGACGAAATAGTTTAAACTTGTCCTGATACACAACTCTAGATCTCTTTATTTGAGTAATAATAATATTGAGAGAACTGTTATTAAACTTTTTTCCCCTGAAACTACAGGTTCTATAATGATGACTGAATCTGGAATTTGATTATAACATTTATATGTCTGATACTATCAATGTGTTTTTTTTAACATATTGTACATCCTCTTGTAATTTCTTATGTTTGAATTTATACATATATGTTAAATAATGTTTTCATTATTCACTTTTTTCTTAAACTTCTTATGTGTCCCTATAGGGCTTAAAATCCACTTGACCATTCATTTCTGGATAGTGATATTTTGCCTCAGTAAGGGGATTTATTTTAGTATCCTTTTGGTTCAATCTCCTCATTTCACAGATATAGAAACCGAAGCTCAGAAAAGTTACAAACTGGGGACATTTAGCCTAAGAAATGAAGATTTCAGTGTTTTATGAGAGCTGTCTTCAAGGTTTGTCGTGTATAAGATTGTTTAGAGATGTTGCACAAAGTACAGAGGCCACAATTAGTATCCAGGTGTAGAAGTTGCAGGAGAAAATTTACAATTGATGTCATGAAAAAACTTTCTAGCACTTAGAGTTGTCCAGCGGTCTGTGGAGGTAGTTTCCTTTCATGGGAGGTACTTAAGCAAAGGCTGGATGATTACTAGACAAGCATGTTTTAGAATGGGGGAACTTAGTTCAGAGTCTGTAAAATTGCTTATAACATGTTTTTATAACTGTATTTTAATATAATTGGTTTCTTTTGTAATCTTACATATTTTAATTTTTGCATTTAAAAACATCTTTTTGAGGAGGGATTCATAAGCTTCACCTCTGTGGAAAAAAAAAGCCCAATTCATATTAAAAGAATTTTCTGTTTAAGTGTGTGTTGATTTAGATGGCAGTTAAAGTTCCTTCAAATTTTGAGATTTTATGATTCAGACTGTAAGGTTTAGTAGGGATGGTGAGCTGGAAGTACATTTTAGGACCATTAAGAGAAATAGGAAAACCAAAAGGAAGTACAAATTTGGAGAAAGAAATTAGTTATATTGTGTGCATATTGAGCTCAAAATACATGGTCCAGACTCAGAATTTGAGTTTAAAGGGATAGCAGAGATTTCTAGGCTAATCCATTCCTCATTAAGAATCCTTTCCTATACATCAGTCAGTCCCCTACATTTATTAAGGACCCACTATATTTTAGGCACTGTACTAAGTGCTGGGGATACACAACAAAAGTGAATCTCTGCTGTCAAGAAACTATATTTCAACAGAGCATATTACATGTACATACATAAGCGTGCATGCAGATGTAGGCAGATATATCTATATAAATACATATGTGTGTGTGTGTGTATATAAATGCAAGGGACATTTTAGAAAGAAAGCACTAAAAGTGAGAGTTGGTAGACGGGGGAACAGATCAGGAAAGGTTTCTTGTAGAAGATGGTTCTTGAGTTGCATCTTGAAAGAAACCAGGCATTCTAAGAGGCAAAATTGATGAGAGAGTGTATTCTAGGTGTGAGAGATGAAAAATGCAAAATCATAGAGGCAAGAGATGGAGTGAGTATGAGGAACAGCAAGGAGTATGGCTAGATGATAGATTATGGAGGAGAGTGATAAGTAAGAAGCTTGGAAAGATAAGAATGTGCCAGCTTTTGGAAAACTTTAAATGCCAAACCAAAATAGTTTATAATTGATCCTACAGGCAATTGCGAGCCATTGTATTTATTGAGTAGGAGTAACATGATCAGACATATATTCTAGGAAAGTCACCTGGGCTGCTGGGTAGAAAATGGATTGATGGCGAGGAAAGACTTTAGGGAAGGAAACTAATTAGGAGGTTATTGCAAAAGTTCAAGCAAGAGGAGATGAGGGTCAACTAGAATTGAGGTTAAATAAACAGACTGAAGGAGGTATATAAGAAATATGTTGTAAAACCATGTGTGTTAGCAAATAATGGGAAACGTGGGGTAAGAGAGAGTGAGGAGCTAAGGATGAGATAGAGGTTGTGAATCTAGCCGAATGGAAGGATGGTGGTGCCTCCAATAGTATTAAGGAAGTTAAATCAACGAATAGACATAATCAGCAAGGAGTTATTCACAATTTCTTTGAAGGGCTTTAGTGAGGAGGAATCAGTTGCCTCCTATCACAGCCTGCTCCATAATAGCAGTGTCTTTTAAAAAAAGTTTCATCCTTGTACTGAGAACAAATCTACCTCTTCATAGATACTTGTTGGGTATCTAATAGAAATGTCTAAGGAGCTGGATATTTTAGTCTTGTGCTCAGGGGATATATTATGGCTAAAGATAAATATAGATTTTGGAAGCCATCTGCATATAGATGGCAGTTGAAACTTATGGAAATGAAACCTCTAGAGGAGAGTATACTTGTTGAGTTAAGGACAGGGATGATTTATAGTTTCTATGGTGACATCACAGGACAGGATAGCAAAACCTCACAAATAATAGCGTATTTATTTTTTACTCACTTTTAAAACTGATTTTTATGATAACTGGCTAAATAAAATGTTAGTAACACCTATGTTAAAATAGTCACAAGTATAATTTTATATTGATGTCCAAAATGATTAGACAAATTCTCAGTTTCACATCAGTGAATTAATGTATATTTTCCTGAAATCCTATCAAAGTTTTTGCTCATTTTCAACTTTGTCATTTTGATGGGTATTATCTCAGTGTGTTTTTAATTTACAGTTCTTTTATAAGAAATTTTGAACACTTTTACATATTTTTAAATTAAGTAAAACCTATGTGTTTATTATATCATTGGATGAATTATTAATCAAAGAATGGCTCTATGTCTTAAAATGTGATATTTAATATTTTTCATATGTTAGACTTTTATCAGAGATGATTGATTAAAATATTGGACATTTATTAAACAATTACTTTATGTCAAGCATTGTGATAAGTAGGGGGGATACAAAGAATGGGGAAAAAATGGTTTCTCAATTCAAGGAACTTACATTCCAATGAGGGAGATAACATGGAAACAGCAAAGTACATGCAAGAAACATACAGAGTAGAAGGAATCCAAATAGAGAGGCACTAGAAGCTGGGTATGGGAGATGGAGTGGGGAGAAAGACTAAGAAAGACCTTTGATGGAAAAAGGGATTTGGAATGGATCTTGAAAAAACCCAAGAAAACTAGAAGGAACAGGTAAGGAGGGAAAGGATTCTAAGCATGGAGAACAGTAAATACAAAGGTTTTTGTTTTTGGGAGAAGCTTTGAATCATTTAAAGTTTTCTTATATATTAAAACACCAGTGACCTGGGCTCGGAATTGAATAGGGGGAAGAGCTCAAGATGTATTGCTTAGATATTGTATTCAGTAAATAGATAACCTGATGGAATTGTTTAAGAGGTGGTGTGGAACCTTTCCCTAGTATTTCCAAATCTTACATCTTAAAGTATATTTGTTGTTTGCTGTTTCTTATGCTCAAAGCTTTCTGGGGATCTAGAAGCCATGCTGATTTCGTTATTTCATTTCTATTTGAACAAGGATGGTTCATTTTAAAATCTAAAATATATTCTAATCATCACGTCAAAATTTGCTTTTCCAAGAACAAACAAAATTCCCTTCAGAACCTTTTTGCACATCTTTTATGCCAGAAACATAAAATTATTCAAAATGCATCATTTCTCAGTTGAATGTCAGAAGCAGCACTTAAGAAATGTTTATTGACTGATCGAATTACCCCTGGTGTGAAAAAGGATAGTCCTTTTGCAAAACTTGGCTAAAAATACATATTCATTTTTTGAAAAGAAGGATTATCTCTTCTGGTCACCATAATTATTGCAGATTTGTGAATAACTTCTAAAATTCTATCAGCTAAATAAAAAATTGTTACTGCTACGTTTTCTTCATCAAAGAATCCTGAGAATAAAATTAATGAAAAGTGACACTATTGTGAAAAGAAGCACAGAATAAATTGACATCCTTTATTTAATTAATGGATTCTCCTCCCTATTCACTTACCCTGCCTGCCTACCCAGCCTAGATCCCACCTGACATGAAGTGGGACACATTGCCCCTTCTTCCTTTTACAATCTTCAAATACTTTACTCCACACTATACCATGCTATTTGCTGTCCCTTGCGTAGGGCACTTCATCTCCCAGCTCCCTGCCTCATACTGTGGTTTACACTACAATTGCAACTTTCCTCTCCCAATTCATGGACTTTGTTTCCTAAAGAGAATCTAGCCAGGATGGGAAAAGTGTCTTACTATCTCTCCTGATCAATACATATCTAGGGGTAAGGAACCTACAGCCTCGAGGCCACATGTGGCCTTCTAGGTCCTTGTGTATGGCCTATTGATTGAATACAGGTTTAACGGAACAAATCCTTTTATGAAGGGGTTTTGTTCTGTGAAGTTTGGATTCAGCCAAAGGGCCATACTTGAGGACCTAGAGGGTCACATATGACCTTGAGGCCACAGATTCCCCACCCCTGAATTCTAGTCCCATAGCTATTGCCATCTGACTTGCCAATGCCACTTAAGAAACCCTGAACTTTGCCATTTTCCTAGAGAAACAACCTTAGTATCTGTATCTTGACATCTTCCCTTCTGGATATGTTGCCTCACCTATTTAGAATGTGAGTTCAGGAAGAGGAGGGACTGTCTTTTTAGATTTGGATCCCCAGTGCTTGGCATATAGGGAATAGGGTGGGACCTTTGATTTCACTGATATAGGGAACTCCCAGTGAGGAAACTCCCCCTAATAGATTAACTTATTTTCTGCAACTTGTATGTGTGTGGTTTGTCCTTTGTTCTTGAAGAGGAACGTGACATCAGGGAGATGATGCCGTGAATTGCAATTGATTTTGATTTGAGTGAGGGAGGGATGTGCAAAGTCACCAGCCTCACTTTCTCCTCCAGAGCCATCTGGGTCCAGTGGCCAGATATTGATCAGGATGACTGAAGAAACTGCTTCGAG